AGATCCCATCCAGCCCTGCCCTCTGGCACTGGGACAATCCAGGCAGTGCTGCAGGACCTCAGCCTCCCCCTCGTGGGGCCATTTTGGCCCAGACTCAGGAGCTCCTGAGGTTCTGCTGCCCCTGAGCCCCCACAGACCCCTCATGGCATGGGAGGAGCTGCCTGGAGCTTTCTCTGTCACAACACACCTTTCCCAGGGCTGCTTTGCCCCTGTGCTCCCAGTTCCCAAAATTAACACATGCAATGAGTCCATCAGATAGAGGAGCAGAGGCCCCACCTTGTGCCATTGCACCAGCACGGCTCGGGCTGGGCACCCTGGCAGGGCAACACCCAAAGCACTGGCAGGTGACCCAAAGCTGGCATCACTGGGGTTTCCATCAGCCAGGGGATCCTGCTGCCTCCACACTCCAACAGGGAAAGCTCATCCTCAGCACGTGCCCAAAGGCCCTGAATTCTGGGGTCAGCTCCCAAAGCCTCACTCCCTGATCCAGGCCCTGGCACAGGTGCCCACAGCAGCTGGGGCTGCCCCTGCATCCCTGGCAGTGCCCAAGGCCAGGCTGGGCACTGGGGACAGTGGGAGGTGTCCCTGCAGAGGTGGCACTGGGTGGCTGTGAGGTCCCTCCCAACCCAAACTGGGACCTCTGTGATTCTGGGATTCCCTGAGCTTTGACCAAGGAAAGCTCACGGAGCTGTGCTGGAAAACAACCCATCGGAAGCAGCTTGAGAAAGGATCTGTGGGAGGAGGTGGAGCAGGTGCTGCAGCCCAAGTGAACCAGGTGAACTCTGCTCCCCAACCTCCTCCCCGAGCATCTGTGCATTATTTATGGAGCCATAAGTGAGGAAACCTTAGGAAATCAAGCTCCTGCCTTTGCTGCTTTGTTGTGCTGCACTTACAGCAACGCTCTGAAGGCAAACCAAATCCCAGAATCCCAGACTGGTTTGGGTTGGGAGGGACCTCACAGCCCACCCAGTGCCACCCCTGCCATGGCAGGGACCCTTCCACCGTCCCAGTGCCATGTCCAACCTGGCCTGGGACACAGCAGATGTGTTTATTGGACAGAAGGGACTTTATTGCACTTGAATTTATCATCCCCTGGCCCTGGCAGGGCAGCCTGGCTCTGCTACAATGCAACCCTGACTGGGCACACGAGCACAGAAACATCTGCTCAAGCTCCAGGTAGCCCAGTGCCTCCCATGGGGAGCTGAGGGGTGAGGGAGAGGAGGGATGGGTGATCTGGGAGAGATGAGGAAACTGGAACTCAGAGAAATGAGATGAGAGATCTCGGAGAGATGAGGGAGCTGGAGCTCATAAATGAGATGAGAGATCTGGGAGAGATGAGGGAGCTGGAGCTCATAAATGAGATGAGAGATCTGGGAGAGATGAGGGAGATAGAGCTGTGACAGATGGGGGAGCTGAGAGTGATGAGCAAGCTCAGAGAGCTGATTGAACCGATGAAGTGGAGACAGATGAAGATGAGGAAGCTCACAGACTTGAGGGAGCTGAGGAAGATGGAGCTCAGAGAATGACAGAGATGAGAGAGATGGGGGATCTGGGAGAGATAAGTGAGCTCAGAAATGGAGCTCAGAGCTAACTGAGCGGATGAAGCTGAGGGAGATGATGAAGCTGATGAAGCTGAGGGAGCAGAGGCAGAGCCCAGCACCAAACAAGGATAGCAAGGCTCCAAAGGAAGGTGCCATCCCCACGGATGCTGGCATGGTGACCCAGGTGGAGGGTGGCACAGACGAGGCCACCAACCCTCCCTACAGTGCTGGTCACTGTCCCACACATGGGGTGACACCTGTGGCTGTGGGCACCAGCAGGATGGCAATGATGGGAGAAGCCACAGGCCTGCATGGTGACATCACCAGCACTTGCCACAGGACATGGGCCACATCCCCAGCCAGCAGCACTGCTGCCCTGGGCTCCTCTCACTTCCATGAGGCCACATCCCCAGCCATAAGCACTGCTGCCCTGGGCTCCTCCAGAGCCCCTGGCTCCTCTCACTTCCATGCACAGCTGTGTTTCTTTGGGAAAGAATCCCTGAGAAGCACAGGCACAGATGGGCAGGATCCTGTCCTGCCTCCTCACCCAGGGGCTGATCTGGCATCACTTCCACAGCTGTGGCAGAGCCAGGCTCACGCAGGTGCCATCCCTCAGACCCAGCACCTCCTAAGGGCATCACAGCCTTTATCTTCTGTCATAACTCAGGGGCAGAAATATCTTTTTACTTTCCACATGTGCCCAGGAACAGCAGCAATGGAAGGAAGAAAAAGCAACGCCCTGAAAAGAAATGACACAGGCCCAGCCACCCCATCCCTGTGGGATGTCAGTGCCCTTCACAGCTGCTTTTCACACCCCCAGGAGGGAGCAGACCTTTCCTACAAGCCTGATTCATGACTTCAGCTCTAACTCCAAAATCAAGCTTCACCTTTCCCTGGCAGTGCCAAGGCCAGGCTGGACACTGGGGCTGGGAGCAGCCTGGCACAGTGGAAGGCTCCCTGCCTGGCAGGGGTGGCACTGGCTGGGATTTGAGGTCCCTCCCATCCCAAACTCTCTGTGATTCCATGACATCAGGGCACCCTTCAGAAACCAGTCACTCATTCTATCGGCCAGATCTAAAGATGATGAAAGGGAAAACAAGAGCAGGAGCTGAGTGCAGCACTGGACACCCACAGTGCCATGGCAGCCCTGCCAGGCCCTGGGTGTGCCAGGGGCAGGGACAGAGCCAGGGCAGCTCAGCAATTAGGGGCCTGCTGAGTATCAAGGCATGTTCTCCTCCGTCCCTTAATGATTCCTACCCTTTCCCAGCTGACAGCAAAACACACTCCAGGCAAAGCCATGTGTAAACAGCCTTTAATGGGATAAAAATTTCTTACAGGAGACACTCCTGGCACACAGGAGGCACAGATACTCAGTCATGGAATCACAGCACCCCTGTGGCTGGAAAACTCGTCTGAGCCCAGAGTCCAAACACCCTCAGCACTGCCAAGGCCACCCCTGACCATGGTCCCAAGTGCCACATCCATAGGGCTGTGACATCCCCCCAGGATGTGTTTCCCTCCCTGTCCTGGGCAACTGTGCCACTCCTAGAGTGATGTGGACAAGAATTGTCAACACATCCCTGTCCAGCTCCATGGGAGAGAGTCTGGTCTGGGATACACAGCTCTGGAATTGTCACACGAATATCACAGAAACAGGGAAAGGGTTGGGTT